TTCGTAAACAATTTTAAAACTTGTTTTACTTATCAAAAGATGTCTCTTGGTTTCTTCTCTCGACTAGTGAAAATCGCAATTCTCTATCGGTCGTCGTTCAGAAGTTATTAAAAACGTTTGTGTTGACTACGTACCCTGAAAAGGATAACAGTTCGGATACCTTTCTATTGAACATAGATGATACTGCATAAAATTATATCTATATAGTCAAATTCCTTAGCTGTTTGGATCATCCGTTTAAATCGATCATTTTGAATAAAAAGGTTAAAATAACGCTTAATGTACCCACCACACACAATAAAAAAACCACTATGTTATATGTCTTTATTTTATAATTATCAAATGATTACATACATGTATGTACACACGCACACACATACAGACAGACGCTTCTTTTTTTCTGTCTCTCCACATCCATGTTCTTCATAAATATTTTTTCAGGTTGTTCGAGATAAATAAATATATTGTACCATTATTATTATTAGTAGTATTACTATTATTATCAACTATAATTTTTTCTTCCGTTGACACAATGAAAAACAAGTGAGAAAAATAGCTAAGAAAATAAATGAGCAAGAATGAGAGATAAATGTTAATCACTTAATCAATATCAAAAATGATATAGCAACATACGCATGGACGATGAAACTAAATATATGTCAACATTTAAGGGTTTGCCATATGTATTTTGAAAAAATGAAGTAGTTTTCATTCTAGTAGTACTTTATTAGTTTTTTCGAATTGAGATGAGCCAGCAGAAATTTTTGACGTATATCATATTAGAAGACATATTAAAAGCAGAGAGGAATGATCATAGTTTTTTTTTTTTATTTCTTCAAAATGTGTGTTCAATTAACTTCGATGACCTTGGTGGATGCAATGGAAATAGACATATCTACATTTATATTCATTTATTTATTTTTTTTTTTATTCAAGATTGTATTTGTCGATGATCGATGTTTTAGATAAGAACAATTTTCGATCCGAATAAATTAAACATGAGACGAGGTAAAAATTTGAGCAAAAAAGAGAAGGAAGAACAATTGTATTTCGCTTCGGTTTATCATAGTCTCAAGTAAAATGAACGGGTCTCTTGTGACCAACATTCTTCTACTTTTTCAGTCTAAAGAAAGAAAAAAAAAAGAAACATTCATTAAAAAAAATATATAGACAGATCAAAATATCAAATATTTTTTAAATATAAGAATGAAGATGTTGATGACAACAATATTAATGCATGTATCAAAAACAAATGAATCATCCACAGCCCATATTTCACTTATTATTACGAAAAATTTAACAACATTATCGACACTAACATCAACAGCTCGCTATCATCAATACTATTACCATCTTAGTATGGGAAAACGACTTATAATTTTATTTGGTTCAATATTAACACTATGGTTTATAATGGCTATCATATTTATTTGTATTCAATCATTTCGACACTTCAGAACGTCAAAGAAATATTTTCGATTTCGAAAACATGAATTCCAACATCCAATCGAACACTATAAATCATCTTTATCTGCACAAAAACGAATTGAACTATTATCGCATGATGATAATGATATTGATGATGAACGAACAAGCGTTTATACTGCATTATCATTCGTTTCAGATAAAATAGTTGACATAACATGTGAAACTAATAGAAAAACAGTGAATGAACAAATACCAGAAGAACAAGAAGACGAGAATCCAATTATATTTGGACCAAATAGTAACGAAGCAACATTCAGCAGTTATAATTATTATCAATCTGGTTATAAAAACTATGGTTATTCGAATTCAACGTTAACATCATCGGTTGATACGAGAACAAACTTTTTATATTATCCCGCTTGTCGAAATTTTGCCTATTCACAATCGACCATAGCATCATCGATTGATTTAAATGAGAATATAACTGCGCCACCATCAACACCCATAAATACAAATCATTTAACTAATATAGAAATAGTCCATAGTACACATAAAAAAATTATCGATTCAACACCAGCACAACCCTCTCGTTCATTGACATGTACTAATCGATTTTATAATCGAATGTTAAAACGATATTCAACAGTTACCGATACATCTGAAATATCTGTTGCATCTAGTCAGATAACACAAGCCACTTACATTTCAACACAATTACCAATCGTAATGATAACTGATTGTGATCGTTTACAAACAGATATTATTGAACTAGACGATTTTGAACCCGAAAAAGACTGGCGAGGAGCAATGGTAGCTGAATTACGATGCTTATTAAATGACAAAATGCCAAAGCAGCAACATTTTATTGTATCAGAGGAAAATACTGTAAGGTAAAAAATAAATAAAATTTATTTATAATGTGACATTATGTAACTCAACAATGATATATAGAAAACAAGGTTTTAAGAAAAAATATTTTTAAATAAAGCAGTGTTTTACTCACTCACAAGAAATATGGGAGGAAATATTAGGAAATTTTAGTCAATATTCGTCAATGAAGTCTCTAGAGGCTCTCCCATATTCTCAGGAGAAATGAAAATGTAAGAAAGAACGGCGAGTCCTTGACACTTTTTAATTACCGCTTTGTTTCACTATCTCACTATCTTATTAAAGCATTTTCACAGTTTTTCTCTTCGTGTGCTTTTCTCACTAATGTGTTACCATACATGCTGATCTATAGTCCGATGAATTTAAAAGGACAACCTATATGTAGCTTGTATTTTTGAATATGAAGAAAAGATGTCGTACGAAGATTTAAAAATTTGATCCTGCTTTGTCTGCAAGTCAAAACTAGAGAGTTTTGGAAATCGTTCCATCGAAAGTCGACTTTTTGAGAAAAAATAGTTTTCTAGATAAACGCATGAACGTATAGTCTCACGTGAAGTACTTTCGCAATATAAATATATAATTTTTATCCAGATAGAAAGGTCTTTTATTCCATAAAGTCACATGAAAACGCAAAGGATTTAATTAGTTTTTCTTAGTCGCTACGTTCATAATATTTCAAAAGCTATTTTCTCTCCTTTTTCAGGACACTTCAGTCTATAATAATAAGTTATTCTTGTTTGAAGGTCAAATTTATGGTGCAACGTTTACTCGTGCTATTTTCTAAATCTTCGTGTCTGTTGCAGAAAAACGGTGCTTTTTTGAGTTTTTTGAAGTGTCAACAAGAAATGTTTACCAAAGGCAAGGAAGTAGAAGTTCAAATCAGTACAAATAAACTTTAAGTTGGATAACTGTGCATACTTCGTTTTCCAAGCAATGAGAATAAAAAAGAATTCAACAGGATTTAAAATAAATCCATTTTGACCTTTACATCATACTACTGAACGATTCTATTCCATATTTTGATCGTAGTTTTATCATGACCTATTTACATCGCGAGCTTTTATTTTGAAAAGTTCAGCTATTCAATTCTACACTGTAAAGTCGGGAATTATTTATAGAAAATCCAGCCCGATTTTCAAGAAAGTTGGAAAATCGACATCGATTTTCTACATTGTCGGGAATTATTTATAGAAAGTCTTTGTCGAATTTCCGTCTAGAAAATTCTCAGGGATTTTATATATGGACTTTTCGAAAATCAAAAAGTCGGATTATTTTCTACTTTCTAGAAAATTGCTGAAGATTTTCTAGATGATGAGGAAAAACAATTTGAATGAGAATGCTGATAATCAGGGACTTGCGTGAAAATGGCTGAAGATAGACTTTTTCACGTTGAGTGGGGTGTATTATTTCAGCTTATTGGATGACAATATGGATCTTTTACTAATGAAAACCAAATTCGCCATCGCACACGTGTTGAACGATTGTTATTTTATTTAAAAAATAAAGAAAATATATGCTCAATTGTTAGGATCATGTCTTTGAGTCAATATAACCAAGTACATTTTTGGAAGATGCTAAATTCAGACATAAAAATGAGAAATATTAGCAAGAGCAGATCGCTTTGCGATCTTCAGAAAGTTGCGGTGGAACTCGATTGTGTGTTAACCGGGCAACCCAAGAACCTTTCCAGTACCTCTTTGTGATCTCCAAGTGTCATACAGCAACAATACTTCTCGAAGAATATGCTGATTTGCAAAAACTGAGAGAACTTTCTGAAGCTACTAAAATTTCCGATGTTAAATACTAAAACGAGCAGAGATCTGTTACATGACAACTTGTTGCAATATGTAGGTTTTAATAGATGTGAAAGAAGCAAATCTAATGAGAAAAGTCGATTTATAGAAAATCGAGCGAATTTTCTATAAAGTAGAAAATCAACATTTTCTAAACAGTCAAAAAATGGCTGAGGATTTTATAAAAGTTGGAAAATCCTTGGCGACTTGCCAAATTGATTTTCTATAAAGTAGAAAATAATTCCAAATTACGGTTCACTCAATAGCGAAACACTTCGTTTAAAAAAAGATTTGTTGACAGAAACCAATTGACGCACCATCTGCAAATAATGTTTTAAACTTGATTTTTTTTGTATATTTGGCAAATGACGGAAATATCAAGTCTCTACCTTTTTTCTTTTATCCATTCAATATTTATCCATCATCATTCTTTTTTCAAATGGATAGCAAATTTGAAAAATAATCTGTTCTAGAAAATAACCCCTAACCCTATTAGTTCTGCAGTTATCTATTAGTTTTGCAGTTAGACATCTTCGCCTGTTGCCGCAAAATTCGTCATGATATTGCCGGCAAAAAATTGAGATTTTTTGCACACAAAAATGATAGCGATACTCTTCCATGTCAAATTATTTTGCATTAGAAACTACGTATTTATCGAATAACCTGGACAACTTGAGCACGAATAATTTAACTTTGTATAAGTATCTTGTGGTGAAAAAACCCTTTGAATAAAAAGCGTTTCTGCAAAAATAATCGATGTAAAACAGAAGCCGTATAAAATAAATTCTTTATCATGCTCGAGATTCTAGAATCAGCGAAAATAGATAATCGTCAAGTAATATTTTCTTTTTCCCACAATCTTTTCCGACAGAAAAACCATCATTTCAGACAATTCCACAACGTTCGTATGGATTACGATTAAGTACTGAAACTGTATTAATTAACGAAAAGTTGAAAAACACAATGTTACTATTACTAAGGCTTACACGGAAGAGATACTTTTGTTTATCATAAAACGTTATCCTTAGGTGCCGAAAATTCGAAAGCTGAGCATCGTTTTTCTTTTCTTGGTATTTATATATGATTGGATAGAGCTCGTCGACGTGAGGAAGAAAAAGTGGTTTTTAGTTTCTTAAAAAATTCTTTTATGGAAGAAAAATAAGAAGAAGTCGAAGAGTCTGAAATTTCAAAAAATCCTTTAGTGTCAAAACAATTCACATTTCTTTTCTTTTCCGTGCTTCTAACTTTTTAAAAGTATTTTTTTCAGATTCAGCATTAAGAAATGAGTATGTGAATCGAAGTTTCTTGATCGAAGTTAAAGTATCGAAGATAAAGTACCTTATATACCTAAATTTTCGTGTCGAAAAATTACTAAAATATTATTTTACCAAAAAATAAAAATCATCGAAAATTTTCGAAATATATACCATACAACTCAGTTTTTGATGCTGATTCGGAATATGATATTTTACTGCATAAAAGTTGAGTTCTGCTGGAGAAAATAGAGAATTTCGATTTTTTTTAGTCTTGGTTTAGAAAAAATGCATTTTCTCAGTGATAAAGGAAAATAAAAAAACAGCGATCCGTCCTGTTAAAGCTTGTTTATTGACGATTCTAATGAACTAAAAAAATCCACTTCATCTCTTCACAAAAAAAAACAGATAGATTTGCAAAACTGTTTATGAACTTTTTACAGGCGAAGTCTAAGATGTTCATACTGCATAGACCGTTGACTTTAACTTCGATCAAGAAACTTCGATTCACATACTCATTTCTTAATGCTGAATCTGAAAAAAAATACTTTTAAAAAGTTAGAAGCACGGAAAAGAAAAGAAATGTGAATTGTTTTGAAACTAAAGGATTTTTTGAAATTTCAGACTCTTCGACTTCTTCTTATTTTTCTTCCATAAAAGAATTTTTTAAGAAACTAAAAACCACTTTTTCTTCCTCACGTCGACGAGCTCTATCCAATCATATATAAATACCAAGAAAAGAAAAACGATGCTCAGCTTTCGAATTTTCGGCACCTAAGGATAACGTTTTATGATAAACAAAAGTATCTCTTCCGTGTAAGAAATAGTTCTGTCAGTTCCGTCTATACAGATTGAAGTACATTCTATTCTTTTTGTTTGATGAAATCTGAAAATTATACAAAATCTTTTTAATTTGTTCAGTTCTGACTATGAAAAGTCAATGTATACCTCTGCTTATTTTACCTTTAAAAAAAGAATCAGAAGATCACTTCTCCGACCTTTCCGTTTTATCTTTGTACATTTCACAATTACCGTGGATCAACGAGAAAACAAAAGGTGGTGTGTAAAATACTACAATCGTATTGAAGAAACAAATGGTTCGATTACATTACTGCACAAACAAATATATCGAGCATACATTTAGTTTAGGATAACGAAAATATTAACAATTATGGGTAGATATCGTAAAAAGTATCGTATACGTTTTCTAAATTTGTATAAGTTCCATATTGATAGTTCCAGTCTATTTTTTCGTTCTAGTTCATCACCAATTTGTCGAAGATTTTTTGCTATTTGTTTGATAGTAACCGTTGGTATATTAAATTTAAGATTGAACGATGGTGTATGAGATATATTCAATAAATAACGAATATTATAATATGAAGTAACCATTCTTAATTCCAAGGATTAATTATATTGGTACATTAACCTAAACAGAAAATGGTTTTATTACTTTTCCTCGATTTCTTATCAGTGATAGGCTAAAAGATGTTTTCAAATCTAAGTTGATTTTTCAATATATTGTATCACTTAGCATTGATCAACTTACTTGAAATATGTTCAGTTGAAGTTTTATTAAAATGTTTTTCTTACTTGTGACAATTTCTTCTCTTTTTGTTTTCCTTGAGTGATGATAAATAATTAGAGTTGTTGCATACTTAAAGTGTAATATCTACTCTTATTATGCAAAGATTAAGTCTCATAATGTACTTCAAAAGATTCATTTTTATATTCTATTGAAATAGAAGCCCATATAGTAGTGAAAAATAAAATATTGACATTCTGCTGAATATGACGATAAATGAAAAATTAGTAAAGTCTCGACATACGTACGTGTATACAAGAAGGATAGACTTTAAACGATATAAGTAAACAGAAAAGTTCGTATATGTCTTCCTTAGAGATTATAATTTTGACTTGAAGACTAACTAATTTACGCAAAAACTTATAACAGGTAAATTCAAACAAATCTGCCACATCATTCAAAACGGATTAATGAAACATCAAACTATAGCCGACAAACGATATCACATATATTAAATCATTTAGTTTTTAACCTTATTATAATATGATAGATATAAAAAAAGTAACACTCTCATGTTATGAAATGACAATAAAAATTAAAATATATCTTTAAATAGAATTTTTCAAGATTTTTCTGTACTAAAGTCTCATTGATTTTACTGCATTCTCGACTAAATAATGGCGCGAATTATATACATTTTACACCGAGTAAGACTTTATTTTCGTACTTGATAGGCAACAAATTGAATTATGGCTAATTAGAAAAAAAATGATTGAATCGCTTACGCGTACTCAGTGAATATTAGATTATTCGTTATGGCTTATCATGGGCTATCAAGATACCGTCATGAAAATACTACCACGTGCGATAATGAACGTATTCTATCTTTGAATTCCATTATTTATATTGTTTGTGTTTGTTTGATAGTTTCTACAACTATTGTACATACAATATTTTTATTCGCATCGGAACAATGGATTCTAATAAAATCTCCTATGAATCTGTTAGCCTATATTGACTCATCAGAATTATGCGTTAATACTACTAGTGATAATGTATGCTTTGAAGCCTATATTTCAAAAAATCTTTGTACATCGACAGCATCTGACATTTATTCTTATTCAAATGTTATCCGTTGGACAATGGCTTGTTCAAATAGACATTTTGATTATTCGATATCGATTGAAAATATGAATAATTCACATCATCAATTAGATTCTATTTGTGAATGTCAACGTGTTACATATACAAAAATTGTATCAAGAAATTCAAGTTTAATATTTGTTTTGCTTATTCTATCAACAATTATTGCTTTAGCTAAATTATGTGCACCTAGTAAATGTATATTACATATTGTTACAAATTATGTTCTACTATTGTTAATTACAATTTCTATTGGATTAGAAATTCATATGTGTATAGTCGTTCGACAAAGTCAAAATGAAATACAAATTATCATTAATAAATATTTTTCCAATATTATGGTGACATTGGGAAATATGTTTTCATTTGAAATTATTATAGGTAGTTTACATTTGACAACAATTGTTTTACTACTTCTGCTCACATTAATGACTATTCAACGTGTCAGAAGAAGAGCTCAAGATTATCCAGTGATCAAACCAAATATAAACAAATCTCTAACAGATACAGTTATACACATATAGCCCTTAGCGGTGTCTAGTATTGAGATACACGTTTTCAATAGATTTCTGGTAGTCTACATTTAAGAAACCTTTTTCCATAAAAATTTGCGTCTAGTTGTATAGAAAATGATATTCTCGGGAAATAGGAAACGGAAAGTAAGATTTTATTAATGTTGTAAACAGTTTATTTATATGGCTTTGAACAATAGCTATACTGCTTTATTTTTCATATAAAAACATAATCTAGTCTATTACACAAAAGTACATAGCCAGAAGTATAAAAATGAAAATACTTAATTCGCATTTTATTTCTCCGGTCTAATAAATTTTCAGGTAATGGAAAAGGAAATCAATAAGTTTGTTCGATGTATGTATTGATAAAATATGTGAAATTTGCTATGAATTTTGTGGAAGAAATGAAGGAAAAGTTAGATATAGACACAAAATATACATCAGACAGGATAAATCATGGACAAATTACCTATACGATGATTTTTGCATTCATTTTTAGATCTCGTTTTTGACCAAAAAGAAAAAGTTGAACAGTAGCGAAATAAAAATAACAAAAAGTTACTTTAGAAAATAAGTAATATAGGCACACGCCATAAAGTATTGCTAAAGGAGAACAAGATTACACAAAAAAAAAACAATAACAACTTCATCTAAATTGAATAGAAAGCGCAAAAAAAAGTCGGAACGGAAAAGCCAAAATTAGTTTTGCACATAAAGCAGAGAGAAGAGAAAATAGCTTGTATTCTTTGAATCACTGATTGTACAATTGAGTGTTAAGCCTTATGAAAAACAAAAAAAAAAAAACGTATAATTTTTGGATCATTGTCATTCACTAGAGAATTTCAAATTTGAAAAACAAAAACAAAACAGATATATGAAAAATGTTAAAAAATAACAAAAAGATAGATTAAAAAAAGCCATGAGTATGTATGAGAGAGAAAGTCCAGATTCTTATTTCTGTAAATTAATCACTGTGTTAATATAACTGATGAAAATAGCTGTACAAGCATGTCAAGATCGAATGACTGTTCCTCGGAAAAAAGGACCTACACGTGGCTATGTGCCACTGGGAGAACTTTCTATAATATAAAATTGAATGTATATATCATTTATCGTTGAATAGCTACAATTCTCAACATAAGTAATTGTCTTTCATTATTATCTCCAATAGCGACTATCGTACGATTATGTGCAGCAACGTGTAAATCAATAGGAACCATGCCTATTGGCATGGTTGAAGCATTTTGTCCTGTTTGTAAACGCCACAAACATATTGTTTGATCTTTAGATCCAGTGGCTACAAGTTGATTTGTTGATATACAAGCACATGTAATCTGATTGAAAAAAAGAAATATATTAAAATATAAATGTAGTTTTTAAAGACAGACATAATGCTATAGTGCCTATTTGATCATCTGAAGATATATCATTTACTATTTGTTTAAGATATAAAGGTGAGAACTATTACTATCTCCGTTTATGACTCTTTTAGAGAACAACTTTTCCAGAACAAATACGAAATGATGATACATACCTCTCGTTTATGTCCAGTTAATTTTGATATAAGTTCTTTTGTATTTGCATCCCAAACTTTTGCTGTACCATCAGCGCTAGCACTAACAAGAAATTGTTTATCAGGTGATAATTTTACGTCAGTTATACGATCTCTATGTGCTTGTTGTCCATTCTCGGTCAGTGAACCAGTGCGATTACATGATGGAATGTCCCATAATACTAACTGTCCGCTTCTTGTACCAGTTAACACTTGATCGTTACTTAATACTATCGAACATTTTGGATCACAATCTAGACTAATTGATAATGGTTGTACTAATTCTTGATTTGTTGTTAAATCAAATACAACATAGTTTGTATTTCCGTTTGCTTGACATCCAACAATTGCAAATCGTTCATCAGGTGTTAAAGCTATAAAACTTGGTGTATTCCCGTATGACTGATTGGTATCTGATTTTATTTCTTTTGTTAATTCAGAATTAATCAAATCTAATATTCCAACAGAAATACCATGACCATATTTTTGATTACCAGCCATTACTAAACTATTGGAGTTGTTACTTAACGTAAATGTTGCACATTTTATCTGATGAGTTAATTGAACGGGTTTACCAGTATTCACATCCCATATCTTAAAAATAAAATCAACGAGAAAACTTTAGTTTTTGAAATAAATGTTCTGAAATTCAGTAACTTACTTGTAACACGCACGGTTGAGCATCGAGGCCGTCACTGGCTAAGCCTACCAAAAGTGTTCCGCTACAAGCTAATGCGACTTTGGTACAGTTATTGCATGAACCTTGTAAACTCGATACTAACTGACCATTCTATGTACAAAGGAAACAAATTGTTATTGATCTGTTACAAAAGAGACATACTTTTATTTACCACAGCATCCCAAATTTGCGGTGGTCCCTGTGATTGTCCGACAATGGCATATTTTCCGTTTGGAGTCATACTGACAGTGTTAATGTTACTTAACTCATAATCTGTTGTCATATTTTCACCACCAGTAGCCCCGAACATCGAATTCATTGCATAACCACCAGTGCCTTCCCATGATTCTAATGTTTCATTAACGCGATATCCATCCATACCTCCAGCAACTCGCACACCATAAGGAACACCAAATCCAAAATCACCAACCGGTGGAGGTTGATAAACAAGACCCTCGGCACCATAAGTGCTGTCAATAATCCGTTCTAAAGAAAATTATTAATATTATTAATATTATATATTATAAAATTATTAAATTATTAATATTGATAGAAATTCAAAATATCTTCATGTGATCAGAAATGAAACTACATATATATTGAAGACAAAAGTCGTATTCTAATCATGCTTTTTTGATCGACAACTGACTATTGTTCTTTTATGCAGGACAATAAAACTTCATCTATAGTTTCGGGCAAGTTTATGCATGCACACGAAAAAAAGCAAACAAATTATTTTTTTTCACAATGACATTCTCAACACTTCTGATCGACCTTTCCGCTCTGAATAAGATGCATTCTGATGAGCTTGTTCACGAAAAGCATCTCCAAATCTTGATGACGATGACATTGTCGGATAGGCAAATGCACCGCTTGAATACTGATCTGGATGAATACCTTCTACAATTCGTTCTATAAATGAGCAAAACGTGTAGTTGAATTCCCTGTACTGTACTATTCTTGGATACACAGTATGATTTAATTATGTACTATGAAAAATAAATTTAAATTTTGCTTAATCTATCTTACCATGAATACGTTCGATTCGCTCTGTTTCGGTTCTTCCTCCAGCTGCTTCTTCGATATTTGCTTTACCCTGTGCAAGACGTTCATCAGTCAATGGTAAATGACGGGTACCGCGGCCACCCTCTGTTTGACTCACTGCAGATGTACCTAAAGAAATTTAAAATTATTAAAAATATTGTTAAATTACAGAAAAACTACTTTTCTACCTATTTTAACTGGTATATAGCCTTGAGTTGCTGCTGGGCCACCTGGAAAACACATACCATCTGCACATTTACGTGCTGCTAGTATGGCTGCCAAGGGCAACAGCATAAATGCGGATGCAATGGCCAATATAAAACCAATATGTTTTTCTCGAGCTCCGCCAATCCGACCATAATCAATTAATTGTCCATTTTTACTCCTTAGCGCTGGTGGACTTGGAACAGGTATGCCTGTTCTGAGAGGGACACCTATAGTACCTGGTGTTTCTGTGGTTGTTACGGTTGGAGCTGTGAATAGAAAAAAAAGATACTGTACGAGTGAAAATTTTAATTTTACCAAGTCACATACGTGAAATATCACAATACAGTCCACTATATCCATCTCGGCAAATACATCTTCCCTCATGACAATCACCATAATATCCACAATTTATACCGGCACATACATCGACTGAAATTAAATATTCTTTAATAGAAAGAAATTGGAAGAAAGCAGTTGGAATAATTACCTGGAATATCACAATAAGTTCCACTATACTCTCGTTGGCACTCACAATAGCCACCCCGACATGTTCCGTGATTACAATTCATTCCAAGGCAAGGATCAGTAGGCGGTGCTAAGTTAAAACAGAAATCGTCTCATATATCATCCATTATTTAGAACAAACAAGAGAGACTTACTTTCGCGACAATCTTCTCCGTGATATGGTGGATAACACTCGCAGCGACGACTACTACCCTCGGCAATACAACGTCCACCATTTTGACAAGGATATGCTTGGCAAACATCAACTAAAAAAAGTTACATGAATTCAATTATCCTTTAACATTGATACAAAAACTCAATAATAAATAGTTTTTAATCTATCGGATAATTACGGACCCTAATATTCCTTAGATATTTTCGGTTGACACTAATATGCACTAACCTTCACATCTACTTCCAACTCGTCCCGTTGGACAAATACATCTGGCTGTTCCACCATCATTTTGACATGTACCACCGTAACAGTCGTATCTCAAGCATGGATCAACTAAAATATTAAAAAAATATTTTCGTCTAATATACTGAATAAACATATATCTAGTTCAAAATATTCTTACATTTTTAAAATCTTATGATGAATTTGATTAGTTTAATATTCAAACACAAGAATTGAAAAAATGAAGCGATTATAAAAGAAATAATTGTATAAAAATATCTCTATAAACCATGTTAAAATCTAATTCTATTTTTGTAAGCAAGCAGACGAAACCATGTTTTTTTATTACACAGTATGTATAGGTATATGAATGAAGTCATATTAAATGTTTGGATTACAATAAATTTTACCAAGCATTCAATACATGCAGAGTCAAATTTAAATTATTCAAATAGCAAAGTAACAGATGAATGCCAAGCATATTTCATTATCAGATGATTAGTAAAAACTTTCACTAAATTTCGAAAAAAAGATTTTGTCAACATTATTATTTAAATTTGACTGATTAAATCACGTTCTTTTATCTGTATATTGAAGATTATTCATTAATTTGAAAAAAAAGATGTTGAAATCAATGCAGAATGGCGTCGCATGAACATTTTACATTATTAATGTTAGAATAACAAACGTCTTGTTCATTTAAGCAGACAACAGTTGGCAAGTATCATGAATGCTCATTAACTTTAAACATTATAAACTATTATGTTATTAAGTCATGAGCCGTTTATGTGATTTTACACAAATAAGTTTTACAGAGATATATCTCATTCCAAGAGAAAGAAAGCTATTGTGACGATATATCTTTATAAATAAAAGTGTAGTGGTATCATGTAGAACAGCTGCTGGTCGCTTTACAATAATTGAATAGTTAACCGTGACCTTTTATTGCATTTAACTCAACAGAATTTCCTCATTCATGTTATTACGAACAACGCAAAGCAATGTACAGTTGTTTCTGTTGTTTTCTATTCGCCACAGGGTTTTACTCCTTGAAATATTGATAAATAGCAGCCATTTTAAAAAATGAATAGCGGCACATTATTGCTTTACACCTTTACAACAGTGTGTGCTATTATTTTTTTATCAATATTGGTGATGGTGATAACCCATTTCTATGTGCACACACACATTCATATGTATATCTTATTCATGTCATCACACACGTAGTAAATGATCTTTCTTCTTTTTTTTTCGCTCTTCATACACTTATACACTGATCAATGTATATTAACATTCTGTTTATTCTCACAACAACATTTTGTCGTTAGTTGATGATCGTAGTGGTATAGACACAATTGACTTTATAAATTGAAAGACGCGTATATAATAGTTAGTTCATAAACGTTAGAGTTGAACAGGCATTGTTTTATGCTTCGCAGACAAAAAGAAAATAACTCAAGAAAATATACAAACGTAGAAACCTCCAAAGTGAGGATTACTCTGCATTACTCACACAATTCTACCATACACGTCTCTCCAATATATCCTGCGATACATTCACAATAGGGTATTTCTCGATCATCCGCAGCGCAGTGACCATGATTGCAATTAATATTTGCACAAGATTCTGCTATAATACGAGAGTCATTGACAAATGTGTACGTCAGCAAGACAAAAAGCTACAATAAATTTTGGCAATAGACAGAAAACTCAACTCATGCATGAATAGCATAATACTGTCTATTGATAAGCAACATTTCTTTCAGATTTTCATTTTGTATGCATCAAGCATATTTCTATACCTTGTATCACTAATTCACAATTGTCACCGGTATAACCGGGATCACACGTGCAATAGTAACCGCGTGGATCATTTTGAAATAAAACACAATGACCTTGTAGACATGGGCGTGTTTGGCATACTATTCGACGAAGAGAGTCAGATACATCTCATGGCAATAAGAATGCAGCTATTGTACATGCTTACCATCCTGTGTCTGAGAACAATCGTGACCCGTATAACCATATGTACAACGACATAATGGTTGACCATTCTGCACGATACATACACCCTCATTGTAACATGCATAACTTAAGCATGGATCAACTAAAAATATAACGGGTCCTCTCTAACGATACTACTGGGAATAAGATTAATTTCTANCGACCTTCATAACCAGACAAACATTCACATCGATATTGACCGTCTGGTTCATTTATACATGTACCATAATTACAATTTGTTTGTGAACAAATATCTATGGATGTGTAATTTACATTTATAGAGAGAGTCTGTCCATCAAATTTCATACTGTACTATCGATAGGTATGGACCAGTTAAAAACTGGTGCTGGAGCTTTTATGGAAATTGGTATAAATCGGGTATAAAGAATTACTCAGAGTCACAAAACCTCATTTTGTAGAACGTTTGAACTACAATCCCATATAAGTACAAAAGTTTTGAAGTTAGTTATGATACCAATATGAGCATTCTAAAATGTACTAAATTCAAGAAAAAAACCTGTTCAAACAGTTTTCTTCTAACTTTAGTGCATTTTAGAATGCTCACAGTTTTGTTACAAATAACTTCAAATCATTTTTCACAGCTGAGTTCTAGAGTAAACATTTCTCTACACAATGAGACATTTCGCGACTCTGAATAATTCCTTATACCCGATTTATACCAATTTTCGTCGAAGCCGTAACACCAGTTTTCAACTGGTGTATGTCTAATTAGCGAATATAATTTATGAAGAAGGTATGGCATACTATTCGACAAAGGGAGTCAGATACATCTCATGGCAATAAGAATGCAGCTATTGTACATGCTTACCATCCTGTGTCTGAGAACAATCGTGACCCGTATAACCATATGTACAACGACATAATGGTTGACCATTCTGCACGATACATACACCCTCATTGTAACATGCATAACTTAAGCATGGATCAACTAAAAATATAACGGGTCCTCTCTAACGATACTACTGGGAATAAGATTAATTTCTAGTCTACCTTGACGTTCACAATTTCGACCTTCATAACCAGACAAACATTCACATCGATATTGACCGTCTGGTTCATTTATACATGTACCATAATTACAATTTGTTTGTGAACAAATATCTATGGATGTGTAATTTACATTTATAGAGAGAGCCTGTCTACGTTTTTCCTAACTGCAAGTAGTTCTTTCAGGAAAAAATTATCGTGAATACATCAAATTTCATACTGTATTGTGAATATAATTTATGAAGGTATCAAAATTCAAATCAAATTAATTATGTCTTATACTGAAATTTAATTATTGTACAGGCTGCTACTACAACATTGACACTACAGCTTTTGTTATCAACTACGTCTACTACAAATATTTGGTGTGCATGATGCATCTACATATTTTTTATATTAAAAAAATTAGCATAATTTATTGATGCGAATAAGTATATAAGTCTATTACTCACCAGCAGGTGTTGCACATTCATGACCAGTCCATCCGGTATAGCAACGACAATAGGCGGTGTTACGATCTGCTTCACATCGGCCATTATTACAAGTTAAACGAGCACATGGATCTGAAATAAAAAGAATCTATCTATATTTAACAATTATTGCATTGTCTATGTGAAGTTTCTATATGATATACAACTCATTTGACAGAATACAGTGCCAGAGACAAGTCATTTGTTTTTTCACAACTTTTCTTTTAACCGATTGATAAGAGCTAAAAGTTGAACTTTTTCTGACTTATGGGCAAAAAGAAAATTCTAAAATTTTTTTCATAAGTTTTATTTTATAGTAGGAGTATGGGCTGATAGACACCGACAGTCCGTTGTCACGCTTGCTGAATTGATCGGGCAAGATTGCCCGTTTCGGCAAGATGTATTGCCGGAACAGGCAAAGATTATCTTACCCGTTTTGGCAAGATTTCTACACTTTTTTCTTTTAACGGATTAGCGCATAAATCAAAGCTATAGCGGATGTAGACACTTATTTCACGTAATAGAGCGGGAAAACTGCATCAGATGGAGTTTTCCTTGGGTGATTCGGTGCTTGCTTGTACGGTCAGAAAACTGGCCGACTATATCTGCCTCAGGATTGTCTTGCCTGATCGGGCAAATTTGCCCGTTCGAGCAGTATTTCCTGATCAGACACGTGCAAAAGATTGCCTGATCGGGCAAGATAAATTGCACAAAATTGAGCTATGTTTGCTATTCGTCTCTGTCATAAAAGAGAAAGAAGATTGAAGACATAACTTTAATATACGGTAAATAATCAGTACACGAGGAGTAGAATGAACGCTTCTCGCCCATTAGACGACTGATGATTCTCGACATCAGATCTTGCCCGAATGAGCAAGTTGCCTGTTCAGGTAATATTGCTCAATAGGACAAGTGACAAGGGACTGACCGAGTATTCATAAATCAAAAAAATGAAACAGAGAAAAGTATATATCTATAGTTAAACTTTTGAATTAAACAAGACAGATTATATTCAGCGTGAACTAATATTCTTAGGTCATCGCGTATGTTGATACTGTTCGACCTACTAGAGTGTCTTTAATATATATTTAGTTCTAAAGTCACACTTAGCAGCAATGCTCTACCATTTAAGAAGGTTTCTATTGACAACACCAAGAAGAATGTAAGTTTCACTTAGTCGCTTTTGTAAGTCAAGCGTAGCATGATTGCTATATCTAGTTTTGAATTTATGATTGTCGTCACACGTTTGAATGTTTTTTAAATGTATCTATTGCAATCAACGATGATGACCATTCTAACATCATGAACGGCTATGATTTTTTTTTCTTGTTTTTTAATTAAATTATTCATTTTTTATGTTTGATGTTACGATTTCGCTCTTCGAGAGATAATGGAACATTTCTTATGGTTGACTAATTCATACGAGTATATACGTATGTTGAATATTATGATGTAAACTTAGCTATCAGAAAAAACAATATAGGCTGTTGAAAAAACATCACCTTGAAATGATAAAATCTTTAAAAATGTATCTAACTCAATATCATTATATGTTCTATATAGGTGTAAAGTTGAAAATTTTATTCACAATTCGTTGTATCAGAGCTCAATTCAAAAATAATATATACTCTACACTTGCTGACTTTAGTCAGAATTCTATTAACGTGAGATCTATCATACGATCATAATAGTTTCTTTGTCTCTCATTTTAAGATATTTTATATACTGCTATATGAGAATTGATTTTTGTTAAATCTTATAACCAATATTTATACTTTAGACTGTATACGTTTGTTCTATATATGTATGATAGATAAATTATACTATAACAATAACAATAATCAGTGATCAGAATATATTTGATCAAATGCGTTGAGTACCTCAAGAAAATCATCGTCACTAACACAATGAGAAATCTTTTCATCAGTATGAAAACGCAACAAACGATGTTCAAGAGAAGAACGTTTTGTATATAGATAAATATGATGCAACTTAAATGTTGATTGATAAAAGTTAACAGAATAAGAAATATATATATATATAAAAGAACATAGGCCAGATTTTTTGTTTATCATGGTGGATTTTTTTTTTTTGTTAGACTTCTAACCACGCACGATAAGAAATAGAAAAGTACACTCATATGTTATAAGTAATCAATATTCTGTATATATATATAGATATGTACACATATATTTATCTAAGAAATCTCTCATCACAGACAGTATCGAACGCTCGTTACCAACAACAACTACTGAAGGTGATGTTGCTCCACCTTCTCACACTGGTATACCTTCTTAGGAGTTTTTTTAATTTGATTTTTTAGCAGCTTTTCCAAAATGATTGTCTGCATGATATAATAATAAAGTCAAAATAAGATATTAAATTGATATTATTTTATTATGAAATAATAGTATCTCTGATCATTATCTTTTTAAAGACAACAAAGAGAATTGTGATATACATAGTTCTTTGATAATAACTGATCGTCGTTTAGAAAATATGTTTTTGGAGTTTATGACTAGCTTAAACAGATAAAAATCTTTTTATTACCTTTAAACACAAATTTCTCAGTAACAAAAAAGAAACTGTATTTATGGACATTATTGCATGTACTGTATGTATGTAAAGTACAAGCGCCCTCTTTTTTTGCAAACTGGAGGACAAAAATATCATTTCCAATTTCACAAACGTTATCTGATATTTAGTCAGATCTCACATAGAATAAGAGTGAAGCCGACTCTTAACTCCCAATAGAAATGGTTTGAAATTTTTCAAATTTCAAGCAAAATATTATCATTGTTGTTTAGAATTAAAGATCTCTTTCTATTCTCGTTCACTTTTAACCGTCTCTCTCTCTCTCTTCCACAGGAAATCGTTAATCTTTTCTCATACACTATTTTCAAACATTATACGCTGTTTCTTTTCTACTAACAATTAATTAATATGATCTCATGCGACTTTTATTGTGTGTCAACGTGTCTTTATTTGTTCAACATCAGTTGACTCAGTCTAACTTATCTCTGAATTTATTTTTGCTCATTTATCTCTATATTATTTTTACCTATTGCTATTTTGCTTTCTCTCCATCAGTTATTGTATCTCTCCTCTACACATTTTAAATTCTTGTTTTTTCTTTTTCTTCTTTTCTATATACATTTTTTTTTTTTGATTGATGTCTGCCCTAAAACGATTCGTTCTCTCTGTGGACAATTTAACAATGACTTGACAGTTGTTAGAGTTCCAATTTTCTTTTAGAATAAAAAAAAGATTTTTTTTTTTAATGTTTAACAATACGCTCCTGCTTCTTTCTTGAAATCTAACGGAATTTCTTCTGTTAATACGCGTCGACTATACACTGATTTTTCTTACATAATACATTTTCTATACATATTACACTCACACACAAAAGAAAATATGATCCGTCAGATTCTAGGTTGGCACTATCCTTCACATTTCCTACTGTCTCTTTTTTTTTGTAAATCATTAAATATATGTACAGAAGAAAAGAAAAAGAAATATGCTTAGATATTGTATGACATTCTTTTTTATATTTGCTTACAATCCACCTATACACATAAGAATAGAGAGAATGATCAAGTGCAAGATCAAACTTATATATGAACAAAATCAAATCATGTCTCTTTCATACACGTTTTTCTTCTTTTTTTTTGTATCCGTTATGGTAGAATACTTTTATTTTGATTTATGTACTGTTTTTCATTTTTTCTTTTTTTTTTTTCTATTCGAACGTCAAATAAACTAGACAAAAATATATATTTCATAAATTTATAAATAATTAATCGGAAATATATTCTAAACATTCTATTGTGATATCAGTTTCACAGATTATTTAAGATTAATAAAAAAACTAAAGTTAATATTAACATACCTTCACGTGTTTCACATCGACTACCAGTATATCCCGAATAACATTCACAATAGGGTTGTTGATTTCGATCTTTACGACAGGATCCTTGACCACATGGATATGATGTACACGGATCAACAGAAACTAAAAATAAAATAAAATATAACGTTTTTTTCTCTATTCAAACGATCTAAATCTCATAATTTCTTTGTTTTTCATATTATAGAATATAATTGAGTATCTATTTATCAACAGGCTTCTTATTTCTTCTACCTATATTGAACTAACTGAACAGCATTTGAGCGATTAAAATAAATATGAAGTATTATTTTTATATAACTCGACGTTTAATTTTTTCTTTTTTTGATACAATAAACATCAAATGTAGTTAAAGCAACTATGTAACAGTGTTTGATTTAACCTTGATAGAAATATCTTCTATTCTTTTATTTTTCACAACTATATCATTAACTTATTTACAAATAAATAATGATATGGATCTATAGAATCATCTGTCTATATCTGTATATCATATATATATATATAGAGAGAGAGAGAGAGAGATCTAATGGAATAACTCAATAGTGATGTTTAACCTTGATGTAGAAAAATTTAAACAAAATACTATGATGTATTTTTTTGTTGTACGTACATATTTATATCTTGATTAACTAAGAAAAGAAAAATCATAATCCTCATGTCTGTTTTTATTCTCAAGGTTAATATGACACTATTCATTCCACTTGATCTTATTCTTCTGTTGTTTTATTTAAACAAAATGTCATGAATAAGATTCACAGTAGGGAATAGGAAAAAAAAATCAAAATGATGGTACATGTCTATAATAGATATAATCAAAAAGAAAAGTAAAAATAATAGCTCCAGTAAGACATTTTTAACAGTGAATTATCTAATTAAAATGACTAAAAACCATACAAGATTTTGACCGATCCATTTCTGTTTCGTGAGAAGTTGACGTGAGTTTTTTTATCCACACAAAGATAAAAAAGATGATTTTAGCATAAAATCAAATGTTATTTCTCGTGCACTACATTAATAAAATGGTTGATCACATCAAGTACGAATAATATCTGGTTTATTGCTACATGTTTCGTGAAACTACTGAATCAATGCTTGTTTATTATTAATGATTTAAGTATTTTTTTTCATTGGGTATTTTTGTATTCGGAAAAAGATATTTCTACATGATCATGAACGAAATATATACCAATGACACACTTATTATGATTATTCGACCCTTCTTAGTCGACGTTCCGTCATGTGTGGATGAATAATCTAATATCCAATCTTTGATTTGAATCAAAATGCATCATTATCTAACAAGTTAAACATTTCCCTTTTGTTAAAATTTAGTTAAAAACAGAGCATGATAGTTGAGCATAATAGTTGAAGATACTTACTGTAAAATATGACATCGGAAAAGTGAGTGAGTGACCATGCCATCCACTTTTCTGTATTATACAGTCAGAAGAATGGATAACATGATCACATTCACTTTTTCGATGTCAAATTTTACAGTATGTAATATCATCGAAACAGACAAAAACGATATTAAGGATTTATGCCTCTTTCCTTTTTATACTGTCTATTATCTATTAATAGCTTTCATTAACAAAAGCGTATAAGAAGCCGACGTTCCTTCATCAATGTAGAATTAGTTTATGTTGTTCCTTGACGAGTCTATTCATTTTGTTTCGTATATTTATTTTGCGTCTCATTTTTTCAGTCTTTATCCTAGCATATTATTATGACTGAGATTTTGAAGTTTATTTTCTGTTGTTATTATATTATAGAATAGACTACTTTTATTATTGTTACTAGGCACTCTAGATTTAAAAAGATTTTGTTTAAAAAAAAACTTGCACGCTCATAGTGTTGAAACTAGAAAGTGCATCATCAAATTTATATGCAGTCACTCATAACAGTCTCAAAACAACCTTTCGTCCTTCTTTCTATACAGGTACGCTAGAAAATATCCTACAGAACGATATATCATACGAAGTTTTTATACGAATCTAATGCTTTATCAATCCACAAAACTATCAAAGAAATTAACATCAAAACATCAAGCAATTAAAAACATATCAAATATTCTTTCAAATAATATTATGCTTTGCATACAGCAGTTAGCTCGTGAAGTGTCAAAAATAATATCATAATCGTATGGGAATGAACGCTTCGAAACGATTTTTTTTGGTTTCTACCTGACGAGTTGCTATGTTGTGTATGAACTTATTTTAGAATATATATAGAATGAATTATTTTAAAAAAAAAGTCGGCATTTAAAAAAAAAATTTCCACTTTTTTTTATGAGTTTTTTTCTTTTTTTTTTTCATATTAAACATAGTACTCAGGAAAAGACAATAGATTCATTATTGATCTTGACAGAGCAAGAAGACAATTCAACTCTCTTGAAAAAATTTTAAATAGCCCATACTCGAAGATGTCTATAGAAGCTTTTTCTTAATTATAAGAAGTAATATAGTAGCAATGTTCACAACATACCTGATGATTCACAACGTAACCCAGTATAAAAAGTTGGACAATTACAAAATGGACCGGTTGGAGCAGGAATACAATATCCCCCATTTTGACAATTTACCGTTGCACATGGAGCTAAAAAAAAAAATGAATACAATAAAAATTCAGATCTTTTCATCGTATAAAACTCTGAGTATAACTCAAACAAAACTTGCTAGTAGGAGCGCTTAGCTTTAACATCCAAAACAACATTTGTAAAATTTTAGCTCGTTTGTTTTACGTTCTTAATCTTGTGCGATTAACAAGAAAATCTGATTGTTTTTTTTTAACTTCGCTAACGTTCCGACTATAATTGAGTACACGAGTAGCAATGAAGAAAAGCGAAACTAATTAGAAAAACCAGATACTGTATAATCAGCACGCAATAATATTAATTTGAGTCAGGAACGCAAATAGAAAACGATATTAGGATAGGATGAGATGTAAAACACGATTTTTCTCTGCGTTAGTATAAAATCGATAAAAAGAAAGTCATTTGAGGTATAATAAAAAAGCAACCACAACTTTCTTCAATTGTATACACCCTCCTTATTTGTAATGCTGAGTCTAGTCTCTATAAATTTTTTGATGAATAATCAAATGATTTAATTACTTACGACAATAGTAACATCCGCCACTTCTTGCATCATAAACTGCCTGAGAATAAACGTTTGATATAAACGAAATCAATATAGCGACTATTAAGATACCAATAAACATATTTATTCACTGTCTCTGTCTGTATTTTAATAATACACCGTATTAATGTTAATAAATTTATTTTTATATATATACAGACACCATTACCACAAAAATTTTAACATGAATCACAAATATAAATTTTTTCTTTTTTTAACCATTCCTTTATTTTTATTTTTATATATCATCTATTGGCATTACGACAACCAACATCGACAAAAAAAGAGTATCACTCTAAAAACTGATTGTAATTATGATGAGATGATGATGGTGATGATGATGATACGGATGAAGCAAGGCCAAAAGAGAGAAGGATATTAATAAGGTGCTAGTGATAGAAAAAAAAAACGAGAGCTAAAAGTGTACATAATAGTCCGTTGAATAGTGAACAGCATGCGGAGAGGAGAAGAAAAAAAAATAAATAATATTTTTCTTTTTCTAACCACAAAATCTATCGGCCGTGCATGCGCTTTACACACGCTCACGCAACTTCAACAAGATGAAGAAGAAAAGAAAAGAAATATGTGTGCAAAGAGAACATTAAGAGTAAGAGTATTACTAATACAAAACATAACGTCATCATTTTTTTTCTATCACTTTAACAGCAGCAGTATGAAATGAACGAAGAATAAAGAGACCGCAAATAAAGTACTCATTTTTTACTGATGTGCTGAGTATAGTAGTATCCAAAAAAAAATTGTATACTGCATTACACTACCAAAAAAAAAAAAACGCCCAAGTACGTAAGAACAAAAAAGGAGGAAGATGAGAATAATGTGTGTTGACGAACACAATTGAGAGAGAAATCTGTACGTACATTGAAATGAGAATTTATCAAATAGTCAAAAAAAGTAGAGAAGCCTGTATTTTTATATCCATAGGGTGTTTTATTCTGTTCTTCCATTTATATTCGCGATTTTAAAAAATAGCTTTTAGCTTAAATTAAACTTTTTTTCATTATGAAAGACAAAAATATCAAAAACTTTTATGATTTCACTTCTAAATCGGTCTAAATCTTTTTCTTTTCTTAATATTTGTTTTAAATGATTCTTTCTAGTAATAAGAAATACGTACAAATATATAAATAAATAAGTAGATCTTTAATATAGAATACCACACCTTTTTTTTCAATCCTCAAATGTTTATCAAGATACGCTCATTTTTTTGGATTTTTTTTTGTTTATCCCATTATGCATTAACAGCAACAAGATTAATATTCTTCTTTTTCTTCATGTTCTGATTATATCAACTGAAATGTATCCACATCAAGTAGAAAAAGTGATTTATCATCCAATCACATGAACAAGAGTAACAGTCAGATCCAGTATAAGTAGTCATATAACAACATCAGTTTTTATTTAATCAGACTATAGAAAAAATATTGTGAACCGATATCTAATGAAAAGGAAACATTGATAATTATTCTCCTTGCAAGATTATTAGAGTCAAGGCGTGCAAAACAATTAGAAATGAGACCGTTCAATTTATATTTTGGCTTCCTGTGTATTAACATATTTTACAATTTCTAGAACTGAACAGTATTCTATCATATAGAATAGATCGATAAGAATAAAGGTTAAAAATTCAGAAAGCTACCTCGATAATAAGAATGTAAAAATCTCCATATTTCAACTTTAGTTGTCAAAAATATATAACATGGCTTTGCCCTACTCTTTAATTGTACGATATTTTAGTTGAAATGTATATCATGTGTTTTTTTTATTATATAACGTGACTACTACATTGATTAATATAAAACCACATTTAGAATAACAACGATACGAGTTTGAAAGATGACTGATGAATTCAAATCATTACATGTATACTTTTTTCTTTTTTAAAATATTATGCTAATTTATTTAATTCTACAATACTTATAAATGCAATACAATAATCACCATAACTCAAATGAAATTATTTCATCCAATATACGTATGTGTACACGTACTATACAATGAAAGAAAAAAGTGATATAAGCTCAAACGGGATCACACGAGCAAGGAATTGATGAATATTTGTAAACAAACATACTTACATTCCTAAGCTATTTAGAGATAATACTATTAAACTATAAGAAATAGTATAGAGTATCAGACTGAAGACTGTTGTCATATGGAAAATACGTGGATTTAAATTAGACAATGTTACAATGATTGAATAGAGATGCGGAGTCTAAATATCTGAGATAAAGTTGAACAATAACGAGATAATCAAACGAAGAAAATGATTTTTAAAATAATTTTACTTCAACTCTGTATTAACCTACAATGCTGGATGTAAAACTCAGATCATTCCTGGTGTTAGATCAACTAAGTGTAGCAATTTTCTAAGTGCTTCAGCCTGTTTTATGATGAGAACTGGGCAACTCAACTCCGGACCTGAGCATCTTTTTTTGCAAAGTTGAGTTAGAGTTTGCTTTTTAAACGACCGGAGTTATGTTGGTGACAGATTTTGTCAACTCCAGCTCCGAAACTCCGGTTCAAAATTTCTTCAACCCCATTTCCTTTTCTTCGCGAGAGTTCTTTTTGTTTAGTTTTTATCTATTTTTGTCGCGAGAGATATAAATGTATGCGTGCTCAGCAAATAATAACATATGATACACCTCACATCTCTGATGAATTTAAAAACAAGAAGGAAAAAGAACGAACAGATTCAACTAGAGTTGAAATGAAGTTGTTGTTGGAGTTGAGTTGGAGTTGTACCTAGACGGAGTTGCCCACCTCTCTTTATGACGATTCTCTTACCGTATAGTCCCAGATATGAACAGACAAAGTGTATTCAGAGTAAAAGGTCAAACAATTAAAACAGTTAAAATGGATCGCTAGGTTCTACGTAAGAGACGTTGATAGAAGAGGTTACTATCTTGACCAAATACAATAATCTGTATCCTCCACTGTCTTGGGGACCACGGAACGTGGTCCCGCGGGATCCGCTGCTAGACTTTCCGATGCATTTTGGGGGGTTATAGGAGGAGTGTCGACTAGGGCTTTGAGCCGTTCGTTGAATTTCAGCTGAGCGCATTGGAGTTTGACGTGCATTCCTGCCACTATAGCAGGTACATCGAAACATCAGTCCACAGACCACCACTAGGTGTTTCCGTTGTGATCATTTATAACTATATACATTCGTTACCTTCAATCGGTGCATGTACATTCCAAGCGACACCGGAATCAACTTCAATTAATGACGGATTTCGAATACAATTTTGAATTACATTTTCACGCCGATTATCAGCTGTGAGCATGATCTTAAAATTATAAAAAAATATTATATCAAAGTTGGGGTATTTGAGAAAGAATTATCTGCATACGTCTTGAACATAGCCATAATAATTGGCTCCGCAAATGTGAATCTTTTTGTCACCAAACAAACTGAAATAGGTTGCAATATTACCGTAATATTTACTTTGATAATCAAGGGTTAGATTCAACTATAAGTAGAAATCAAAATATAGAAAATTTTTCTTTAAAAATATATTGACTCACCGAATTTCTTTCTCTTTGACATTTAAGAACATGCCATTGTGCATTTGTTAGTTTGCCAGGAAAATCATAAGTATTAATAGAATTTCCATGTTGTATCAAAAACTTTGGATGATAATTCTAAAACAGAAAAATGAATTGAAAATTTTAATCGTTGCTGAGAGCTAGCGACATCAGGAAGAATGCGCCTGAGGGCGTCCTATCAGAAATTTTTTTCGACACAAAACACGGAACCTGACAAATTTTTATAGAATATCGATCCTACCTGAATTAGATAGAGTAACCTTTTCAGCTTGAAAATTTGAGTTTTTACACTGTTATCTCGAAATAATAATCAGAAAGTAGCTATTATCGTTTCCTACATTTCTCCTCTATTTGTATTGTCACATGACTCGGTTTGGTGTCAAAATGATAGAAAGACTTGCAATTATGACTAAACAGAGTCATATTTTCGAAGTTTTGTTATAGTTATTTCTCGCAGAGGTTTAATCTCAATAGTTCAAAAACTGCTTTGCTAATCTTTTAGAAATCTTAGTTTTTCTCTAAAACTACGGCAAAAATCAAAAACTGTGACTCTGTTTAGTCATAGTCACAAGTCTTTCTATCATTTTGAGACCAAGCCGAGCGTTTTAGCACTTAAAATAAAGAAGAAATCTGGGAAATATCAATACCTACTTTTCATCAGAAAGATTTTGAGAAAAACGCTGTGCGTTTGTTAGTGGACTTTAGGCAAGGGGAAACAGGTGATTTAACATATCACCGACAAAAAATTAAAGTTCATTTAGAGTTAACGAAAAGTGCTTTTTCGTATTCAGCACACTTGATAACCTGAAAAATTTTCTATTTTCAGCGTGGGGTACCGCCAAAAAGTTAAGAAAAATTTTCAAAATTGTATAATTTTGCCATGGAGATTTTTCTGCGTCACATTGTTTGAAAATTTTTCTAAACTTTTTGGCGGTACCCCTCGCTAAAAATAGAAAATTTTCCAGGTTATCAAGTGTGCTGAATACGAAAAAGCACTTTTCTTTAACTCTAAACAAACTTTAATTTTTTTTTATCGGTGATATGATCAGTCGAAAATCACCCAAAGTTAATTGATTTTCAGTGATTCTCTGTGTTTTTCAATGATTTTCAGTCATTTCCGGTGACTTTTCATTTGATAAAAAGCAGTGAAAATCGACGAAAATCGGAAACACAGAGTTGGGCTATGTCTCCGTTTGACCAAAAAAAGATTGCTCTATAAATTTACACGTTTAGAAAATAGTTTAATTACATAAATAAAGGAGAAAAACTAGATTCTGAAAGTAAATACGCTGGGCTATCCAGCAATGTATCAATCTCAAAATCGACTTTTTTGACAGGAAAATTCTTAATGTTCCAGGCAGATGGCGCTCACTATTGGTGACTTTGTTCTTCATCTCACGCACTCAATCTCTCATTCTCACATTAAATTGAAGATTGGTTCACACAAGTAAAAAGCGTTTTCTTCACCATACATACCACAATTGTAATCGATACTTGTGTAGTACCATCCCTTGATACATACAATGTTGAATTTGGTGAATTTGTATAGATTGTAAAACTGATTTGTTCTTGTTGAGCTGGACCAATTTGTACACTGTATCGAACTAAACCGGTGCTACCAATATCAACTGGCTTTGGTGTACAAACCATACTACAATCCGTCTGACCACAAAACTGAGCAAGGGGTAGTAATGGCGCTTGTGCGATGGACGTCGGCACAACTGGAAGTGGCTGAAGGTTACACGGCCTTTGACGATCACATAGCATGCCCGATTGATAAAAACAATCATAACGATCAGGTTTCAGAACACCTTCCGGTAATAATGGATGTCGATTGTAGGTGATATTAGCAAAACAGCCCGTATATGTGCCAACATTAGCATAATCCGGATCATATATAAGCCGATATGGGCCGCCAAGTGTGACAACATCAAAAAATAATGGTGATCGTTCAGGTAATGGAACCACTGCTGAACGTTTATCAATTTGTATATACATATTTTCGTGAGCCGGATCGATATTATTATTCGATTTCATGGTTATTGTGGGACTAGCTGCATTTCGTGTTACAATGACACGATGTTGTGCTCCATCACTCACCGTCGAATTATCGGAATAAAGCAGTTTTGCTTTTCCATTCGGTGGATAATATTTTAACTGAACTTTTCCATCTTTAACATAGACGACAATACCACGATTATCTTCATTTGAATAAAGTGAACTAATTACAGCATTTTTGACTGTTGTTTTGATTGGTAATTGACAATAGTAAAATTCATCGTTGCCTTTAACATTTAATTCAATAACATCACGTCGATCTCTCATGGAAAAACTAACATCTGGTGAAACATAAGAGATAACATTTTTTCCTAGAGAGAGAAAAGCAAAACCAAATAATTAGTACTGATTTGCATTAGTATTAGTAATAGCATAATTAGTACTGAGCTGCAGATGATAATCGATTCATAGTCAGTTAATATAAAACTAATTTTGAAAAATTTTATCACCACAGTCAAAAAATTCCTCTGTTTCAGCTCATATACGGAATATAGCATTTTCACGCTAATACTCAAATAACTTCTGCAACTAAGAATGTAATTAATTCTGACTCGTATGAAAATATTTCAGTGAATCTCAGGTGTCAATGATATAAATTTTAGATAGTTTGACTTTTATTGCTAAATCAACCCAACCATTTAAGGTACAACAATTATTTTTGTCATTTTAGATCATTCTTCTACTTTAATAATTTGTTTGGATTTGAAATTTTCAGAAAATAGTAGGGGAAGCTGTTATACTATCCCGAAAAAGTTTCATGGTTAAGTACTGCTTGAATTAAAATTTGAATCAAATGGAAATAGACAATATTGGAACATTTTGGATACGATAAGTTTAAGAAGCTGACGACCGATCGCTCTCTACCAGAGATCAGCATGGATCGGCTTTTTTTCGCTCGACCCTAATCAGCAAAGAAACGTTGTGACCCGATTCTGATCCGGCCTGATTATTTTGAATTTTTTACAAATTTTTGCATCTTTAATGCTCCTTTCGTTGACAAACTGGTATAAATGTACCTCTAACACACGTCTAACATTTATATTTCCATGACTTATTTGTTCTTATTTTTTCAATCTTTGTAGGCACTGGGTAAACATGTTCATTCAGCTACATATGTGAAATACAAGAAGCTATTAAGGGTGGGACAGTTCCAGTTCAGTTCTTTTCAAAAAATTAAGATTAAAATAAGACCGGTGAATCTAGTTACATTGACTTTGTGTAGTGCGCCATAGGTAGATGATGTGTTTAGTTGACTAAACCAAGTCAATAGAACTAGCTACATCGGTTTTATTTTATTTTGAATTCTTGAAAAGAACTGGTAATTAGTTCCCGTTCAACAGGAACTGAACTAGTGACCATTTCTTTCGACCATTTCTTAGAAACTATAAGAACTAGAACTGTCCCATCCCTAGGTACTATATAAAGTACTACTAACAGACTGCTTCTTCTGCTATGATACACATCTCAGCCATATCCGACCACTTCTAAAAATTTTCCGACTAGTTCAGTCCGTGCCGATCTCTGCTCTCTATTAAGACATGTGCATCAACTTGTACTCGGAAAAAGTGAGAACCATCAAAAAAATAAGTTTTTATAACATTTTTTGACTGATCAATATATAACAAGGCCTACTTTTACACAAAATTTTAATTTGTTAGGTGCTTTCACAGTATTGTCAGATGTTCTCTTACTCTTACTCTGTACTGTACTGGTCGATAGTAACCGAAAAAAAATATTTACATACTTGGACGATATGTTAATCTACATAATGTTGATAATCTGGATAGATCATTAATTTGATCACGCCTTATCAACGGTTTTTCATTGAATAACACATCTTTCAAACAACCCACAAAGTTTTCTCCCTCTAACTCATAACGTTGTCTGGCAAATCCATCGATTTGTCCAAAATAAATTGAATTCACATAAAATGGTACAATTAGATTGAAGGGTAAAAAATACTTGACTTTATCTAATTCAATATAATCTTTTTCCTGGGTATTTTTAATTATTATTTGATGTTCAATACCATCGTTTACCGTTCGATTTAATGAAAATGTATAACGTTTTCGAGTATGATCATCACAAGTTGCGTATAATATTCCATTGCGTATACTTAAAGTAAAAAAATTATCGTACGATTTATCGGCTAAAGAAAATAAAATCCCATTTGATTCAAACGTTACAAATGTCAATGATAACAGTTTAAATTCACGTTGATCATTATCCGAAAATAAAAATGATATTGGTCGATCTTGTTCACGAAATGATATCGATTCACGAATATAATAATCATCAATGACATGATGTTGTTGTTGTTTTGTTGTTATACTTGCCATTACATTTACACAATCACGACGTGATTTTGCTATTGTTGGTATATTAACTTTAACCAAATTTAATTTTGGATTTCGTATACAACCGATAAATTTATTACGTGCTGTAAACGGAAAATTACCTAATCGACTACCTAAAATAATATCTTTTACATAGAATGGATTATTCACTTCAATTATACTCTTTTGTGGTGAACGTTCATTAAGCCAAGCTTCAATAATATTCGATTGTTTTCGATGATTATTTCTTAACTCGATCGTATATTCTCTGCCATCATTTACTCTTGTCATTCGTAAACGACTACTCGAATTAATATGATCACGTACAATTAAATTTAAAATTCCATCGATATCAATTTCTAAGCCGATAAAATAAATATCATTTATTAAACTAGCTAAAATTGTTGAATTAATATATGTTTGAAATGTTAATGAAAATGAATTAAAATTCGTTTGTATTCCTGGTATAAAAATTGCATCATCATCACTGGGAGAAAATGAGATAGTCATTTCTGGATCCATATCAACAAGAACAAATATTTTATCATCTTTTATAGTGGTGGTTGAAATTGATAATGGTTGAGTTGAAGAATCATCATCAAGATCAGCAGCTTCTTCTTGAAAACTTAATGAACGTCCCATATTGGCCACAACCATCTAAATTTAAAAAAGACAGACAAAATTTATTGATAATATTTTCTGATATATATATATACAAATATAGTAATACTTACATCTCCAATTTTTCCTTCAAAATCTTCATTAGGAGAGGGTATCAATTCAGCACCAATAAATATATTTGATTTGATTTGCCATGCATCTGGTAATTGAACTTCTGATTGCATAACATTATCAATTTCAAATCGAAACTAAAAAATTGACATACTAGTCTCTCTTCCTTTTTTTTTCTATAGTTATAGAGCGCTCTATTACTTTTTTATCGACTCTCTCAATACCGATTCGATGCCACTTATCATCATTAAGTAGTTTTAAAGTAGGACTACTCGTTAATATAATATCTGGCCAATTTTCGCGTGTGAATAATACTTTTGGCTGTCCATTCTAATCGTAACAACAACAAAAAAAAGAAAAAAAGAAATAAGAAAATTTTTTTTTTATGATTAATTGCATTTGAAGATGTCACGAGATACTTAGTCTAATTACATACGTCTAGTTCACAATAATAGTTGACATTATTTTCAAATGAATAACCAGATAAGACAGTCATTTTCCCTTGCTGATTTGTTCGAACAGCAAACGATAGAGTTTCAGATGGTGCATACTCTTCTTCATCTGTTAAATATTTAATCCGCAAATGTTTGGGTGTAGGATATTCACTAACGGTTTTTGGTATACTTTTAGATAAATCACCAGCAGAACCTAAAAATAATAAAAAAAATGATGTGTAAAAAAAAAGAACGAAAAGAAGAAACTCTTGTTCAAAGAAGATAGACTACTATAACTCTATTGATAATAAATGTTAGTATAAAGAGTGACTAGTTATAAAACTACAAGATATCTCTTACCAGTTAAATTTGTTAATGAAACAGTAGATTTTAATAATAATAACCAACAACTAATTACATATAGTAGAATTTTTATCATTTTAGACATATTAATCAACTTTTAAAATATCAACATATCTGTAGATGAACAACAAAACTATTTTTATCATTTATTAATTTTCGAATTATTGATAATTTTCACTCTGTATTATGTGATGATGATGATTTGTTTCTTATGTTCTTTTCTTTTTAAATGTACAATATATTCCATTTAAACTTAAAACATTAGTCACTGACAGAGGTATATCTATCTATCTATCTATATCCATAAAGTATTTTTTTTTCTTTTTTTTTCCTCATCATCATCATCATCACCGTAAGAAAATCGTACAACAAAAAAGTGAATAAGAACACATAAATACATACATTTTCTATCTCTCTCATTGCCTCTATAAAAAAAATTTTTACACATGAGAGAAAAACCTAACGGTTTGTTGGTTTTCAGCCACCATCATTTATATGACCAATGATGGATAAAAAAAATAAGTTTTTTTTTTGTTCATTCTATAGATGTCTAGTTAGGGCTACTTGTATTACTAATACAACCATATATTTCTGCTATATTTTGAATGACACATTTTTTGTTCTGTGTGCCACTACAGATTTAACATCTTTTCATGGTAATGGTAAGTCTACTCTTTCTCTCTCTCTCTCTCTTTTCTCTCATATATAGAAGATGAATCCGTTCTTTAAGACAAAAATGTATGAAACATATTATAGTATCAAAAGGAGATTTAGGTTGAATTTTCTTTTCTTTTGCTCAAATAACACAAATTTGTTTTCTCTCAGAAGGAAGAGAGAAAGAATAAGGACACTGGTCATTTTCATTCAGTCGTCTCTCCTTTTGAACAAGTACAATTATTGTCGTCGGATATACCTATATTATTTTTGAATATAATTAGATTTTGTGTACTCTCTGTCTCTCTCTCTCTCTCTTTCTCTCGATTCAATCTTAATCAACACAAATTATCCGACCGTATAGACGATATACACAAGTTTATGTTGTGCTCCTTTTTAAATTATTTATATACATATATATCCTCATATTCAACAACGATCTTCAACAACCACTTTGACAACCATATGAAAGAAAGATAAAGAAATTTTTGAACGATTTCTCGTTTTTTTTTTTAGTTTTAAATTTGAGTTGTATGATGAGGGTATAGAGCAGAGTGAAATAGGTATTAAATTTTTTTCCTCCAATTCAATAGGAGGCTATTATGTGTATTTGTGTGTGTAGATGTTTTTTTGCAAACAAAAACTTTTGAAAGAAAACAATTATTGAACAAAAGTGTTTTTAAACGAAATATATATGTATAGATATATATTATCACAATTTCTTTCAGGAGTAAAAATGTAAGTGATAATACGTAATGTCTTTCAATGAATTATCGGATTAAATATTTTGTTTAAACTGTCATATAACAAGGTATTATACCAGAAACATTTTGTACTATTATTTCTCGAATAGGAAATCAATTTTTAAAAGTCAATATTTCACTCAAACATAAACTTAGAACATTTTTAAACTTAGATAGGTATAAATGGAACGAATATACATTGATATATGATTAGCAATCTGCACAAATGCTATATGTAAGTCTGAGAAATAATAATTAAATATATCTGAATAAAATTTTTTCTTCTTCTCCTTGTTCTGTCAATGCTTGTTCAACAAGAAATAATATCTCTATTCTTTTTTTTTTCATCCGATTCAGTAAGCTTTTTACTACATAGCTTATGTTTGTAGTTTATAATTAGAGACTGCAGAAAACACAAAGAAAATGACTATAAAAAGATTTATTATCTTGACCATTTCAAAACATTGTTCTGTTATATATGTCGTGTTGTGTATCAGATGTTGTATTCATACATTAAAAAGGTCTTTTTTTTATAGTGAATACTCCCGAATACATAGAGAGAGAGAGAGAGAGAGATCAGTATTTATCACTATATACTTTGATTACGGACACAGGCGTCAGGTTGCAATTTTATCTTTACGTTGTATGTGTCAGTATATAAATGTTAATCTTAAGTCTCGTACAAAAACATTTTTCGTTTTTGTTTTTTTTGTTGTCTATAACAGATACTATTTATTTGTACGTTACATAACTAAAAACGCAAGCATCAGTAACAAAACAAGAACTAACTTCTAGTTCTAAATTCATTACTAATTAATTAAAAGTTAGATACAGCGATCGGTTAGTACTACGCGAATAACATGCAATAATAATAATAATAATAATAATAATAATAATAGTAATAGTTTCTTATTAAACTTACTCATAAAAGATCGAACTAATTTCGATAAATTCAATTTAATTGCTGACAAATCTACTTGACCATTAATATCTAGAATAACTAAACTTTTGATATCAATTTTTGCATTATTTTCATACATATTATCATATTTAGACTTGGCTATAATAATATTTGAACTCTCTTTCTCGTTATTATTGATTATTTCATAGATCGATTGTATATTAACACTTGGATTATTTTGTTCAATTAAAATATCATTTAGATAAACAATTAGACCACGTTGATTATTAAATTCAATTAATAATGTATACCATTGATGAGTGGTGGTAATATTTGATAGTACACATTCGTAAGTCTGATTATCACTGGCCACAACAAATCGTATTGTCAAAGTCAATGTTAATAATTCATAATATAGTTCAAGACCATTACCATGTAATAAAAAATAACTATTAATCAAATGATTTGATTTAGAACCAAGACGAAATACAATATTAAAAACAATTGTATGATTCAATTTTACAGTTGTTTGTAGACGATTATCAATTAAAAATTCAGCTGATGCATTTAAACCATCCAAATGTAAAAATTGTGAAGCAGATGTTTCTTCATCTTGCTTGATTGATGCTGAACCATAGAGTTTTATATCAGGTATTATAATATTTATATCAAATAAACCGGCAACAATTATTTTTATATCCACATTATTGTTTAACATATTTAATAAATCAGATGAAGAATTTTTACCTAAAAATAATTTTTCTTTAACTAAAATTCTACTATTTCGTCTATATACCATGCAAAATAATTACAAAAAAGAAAAAAAATGAAGATAAACAGAGAAATTTTTGTTATGTAATAACATGCCGTTATTTTTAAAATGACTAATGAAATATTTCTCTACATAAATCTCTCTGGAAAATGTTAAAAGAACCTATTTAATTTATATTCTTTTTAAACAAATTATTCTTCTATTATTCTGATACAGAAAAGATAATGAGTCAAGTACATGTTTTTTTGTAAATTTGTAACAAATCTTAATCATTTGTTAACAATACATTATTCCGGAGGGATCTTTTAGAGTGAAGATGATGCAACCATTTCCTTTGGTATCCCGGAAAATAATTATTATTCTTTTGTCATTATATTATCATTTATCTGTGTAAAACTAGAAATGTATATAAGTCAACTAAAAATCTCTAAGTTAAACTTTTATATTCTTTCTCCGATTTTGTACAATACAAATACATACAAGAATTCTCCTATTAATTTTTTATTGGTCTTTTTTTTTGTTTCTTTCTCATTATGACTTTTTTTCGGACATAAAATAAATAAATGGGATAACTGTTCTACACTTGATCAATAATTTTAACGAACTAAAGGTCTATTCTTTCATTCTCATTTTGTTTGTCCATCTAGACATGAATAGTTATGGTGAAGTTATGATACACACACTATATAAATGTTCAACAAACATAGAAGATCTTTATGTTCACTGCGATAAAATTTTCATGTGTATTGTCCTGATTGAAACACATCAACGTTATAACTATAATGATGTGTAACTTATATCTGAACACTATACTATAGTTTATAATTTTTTATAAAAAATTTTTACTTGTTTGTAGCAAGCATTCTATTAATTACAATAGTAGAACCTGTTCAGAACATACCTGAACAGAGATCATTAGGACATGAAGGAAAACTAATAACAGTCCCATGTTTTGATGATAACATAGGCATATACTTCAACAATAAAATAATATCAAAATAATGCTATCTTTCGTTTCTTTTTGTAAAAACAATAAAGATGAATAAATATATCTTTTGAAGTATGTCGTAATAACACGACTAATACAATACATACACCTTTTCATGAGGAATATATTGTCTTTCTGTTTTCTTTTTGTTCAATAAGATTGATGTGTCGACAGCAAGATTAACAAATATATGTGTATAATTTGTTCAAGTCTCATCGCTTTTGTCGTCATGTTATAGACAGATAATTATATAACAGGTCTTCTTCTTCTTTTTAGGTCACTGAACAATAGAGATAATATGTACACTATTTAAAACAACTTCCAAGGTATGTCCTAATATAATGAACAACATTTGAGACATATAGAACAATACGATATTTAGTTTTTTTTTGAACATCAAAGAAGCAACATGCTGAGCATAGCATGAACTCTTTTAACCTCAGTATATTCAATTAAACTAAATAGAAAAAGTAAAGTCAAAAAGAAAAAAAAAAGTATCTCATAAAATAGTTTGTGAAAATTTTTATATTGTTTTAAAAATAATATTATATATATCAAGAATAAGAAGTTTTTCTTCACCTTTTTTGTGTGCTTACAGACTATTTAATAAAGAAACATTTAGTGATATAAGAAAAGTTGTTTCTTTAATCAATTTCTACCGTTAGTTAGTTTTTCTATAATCTACAATTTTTTTTTGAACTTACACCCACACATGGGAAAAAGAGAGCGATTCCCTGTTGGTATTAGTTGTTCGAATGAAGAACGTTTGCGACGTGTAACCATTGATAAACAACATGCTAAAATATGTTTATTTTAGTTAATAATAAAATGTTTTATTTATTTATTTATTTATTTATTTATGTTTGTTTCTTTGTTTATTTATTTTATAGAACATCTCTTGAATTGTTAACTAAAATATTGTATACATTCACTTACCTAGTTCAAAATTATATTTTGTCTGATCATAAAGCCATGTTAATGACCATACACGAAATTTTGCACTTGGTAATGAACTATATCGTCCAAAATTAAATGATAAAAATCCAGTCCAAATTTGTCTATGTTCTTCATTAATAACTGTATTCGTATACTCAATTAATCGTCCAAATAAAAATAACGATAATGATTCGTTTAGTCTATAAACGAGTTTAATTAATAATTTTTCATTAAATGTAAATGATTTTAATTCGACTCGTAATACTTTATTAGCACTAATCCAAATATCAAATCTTAGAATTGTATTATTTATCAATGTGACAATTATCGATAAGTCATTGCTAAATTTTTGAGCAAATATTGTTTTTGTTGATGGATATAAATCAATAATAACATCATTGTCAATCGAAAGAACCCATGTAAGAAATATTTCTAAAACAAAAATGAACTCAAGTGTTTTTATTATTTATTTCTTTATTTTATAACACGTTTTGATAGGATTAAACAGGAAATATCCTCCTCGATGTGATAAAAAAGACTTCGGATCTTTTGTATTAAGCATATTTGCTATGCAATTATAAGTGTAAAACTGCTACATTGGATAACTGGAACTGCTCATAACTGTCAGAAAAAATTTAGACTAACCAAAGTTTCTTGTCTTTTCGAGCTCGTAGATAAGTCACGTTTAATGTACTACGTCTTTGAATTTTCGTTGTTTCTTCAAATATATATAGTATTGACTTCCTATTTAACAAAATCTTGGTTTAAGCTTTATTTAATTTAAATCATTATCAAAATCTTATTCTATTTGGCAATGCAAAAATATACTTAAATCAACGCAGCATACTTTTAACTTCAGATAAACATAAAGAATGTAAATTTTATGGTTAAAATAATGTATAAACACACTTTTTTTTAGCTATAGCAGTTTTACGGTCTTGTAATTACACTTGACTGCTGCCTAACTGTAACTGGCGCATATCTTATCCCTACAGTAATAAAAAATGTATAACTGAGAGTATGCTCCATTATAATAATGCTGATATTTCCAAATATTTATAGTTCAAGCGCAGAAATCAGGTATAGTATTCAAATAGATTTGAAACAGTTTGAAAGGTACAAGTAAAAGTTTTTGTTTGCTTTTTACCTTTTGGACATTGATTCAGATCCCATGTACAGTTTAACAATTGTTGAGAATACACTGGTGAAAATGTAATTAATCCATTTTCCGATTCAATATGAATACCATCTTCATTTGAAATAATTCCTACATCATTAAACAAAGACAGTACAATGTTGTGTACGACAGAATGATACTTAGATTTGATAAAACTCTTACCTTGTTTAGCCACATGTAAGGAATTTGGAAAACCTGATTCTGTTGTGTAATAAAATGAAGATGCTGCATTTTTCGACACAAATTCTGCTGATGAAAAATCAACTTTAAATTGAATAGTTTTACCTGAAAATCAAACAATATTTTAAATGTACATGATTTTTAAGTAATCCAATATTCTTAGTGCTGTTGTTATTCATGTCATTTCTTATTCTGTGCGGTAGTTCAATCTTATGTTAAAAATGTCTCACCATTCAGGGAAAGCAATTTTTTCCTCTCCGAATAAAAGTAATGTTGATGCGGATCATTCTTAATTGAGATCACTTTTTATAATTAAACAAATAAAAATGATCTCAGTTTGGAAATGCCATATTCTGTCAATTTTGAAAAGTGATCTCAGTGGTAAACGAGCTTGTAGCTTCTATTTTAATAAATATAGACTCATGTATCATATATTCGCTTTAAATGTGTTTTATTTTGTAACAATCCAGTCCCTTATCCAGTTTTGAGTTTTTTATTACCAACATCATTACAAATTCTCAGTGCTAATCTAAACGGGAATGCAGATGGTATATTTAGTATGTCACCAAAACTATTTTATCAAAGCTACGGTATTTATACATGGGATGAATCCAGCATGAAGTCAGTTGTTTATGCTGCATTACCTAATACGAGAGAGGTGTCGTATCAGGTACTATTAAATGCATTAACAACTAGTTTAGGAATCTATATTTTATTAAAATAGAAGCTACAAGCTCGTTTACCAAACTAAGATCATTTTTCAAAATTAATAGAATATGCCATTTCCAAACTGAGATCATTTTTATTTGTTTAATTATAAAAAGTGATCTCAATTAAGAAGCCTCGGTTGATGCATATATGAAACAAAACAAAATGTCTTTTTATCCTGCTGTGAATTTTCAAGCTGATAAATCAATTACATATTATTCATCTGCAATCACCTGTGCATGATATTGTTCGTGAAATGTCACATAATAGTATGTCTCAAGGCCAAATTAGACAAGCCGTTTCTGTTGTACATCTAGACTTTTGTATTGATACAAAAATTAAGAATGTTATTCAATATAACTGCTTAACATCTCGTCCTGGTATTATTTCCATCGATGGCTTACAGCGCTAGTACAATAAATATCTTGTTTATACGTCACCTAATAAGCCTGATCGATTATACGTGCCGTCTTATGAAGATATTGATGTTAATACCATACTTAATTTTATTACAACTCGCAGTTACTGTATAGAGGTCAATATTCTCTATATTAACTATTGATTGATTATACGTAAAAAATAACTTTCAATAGCGATTACTGGTATTTGGCACGAATACTAAGAATACTCATGTGTACATTCATTGAGTTGAAAATACACGTACATAAACGCACATGTGCCATAACTTACTGATAAAAGAAGAGGCAAAAGTCGCGAAAAGAAAGCGAAACTAGCTCGTTCATACAACTAAATTAGAATAGTCTTACAACTGAGAGCGTTTTCTCCAACTTATTACTGTCTGTCTAAAAAGTCCGTGGATATGACCACTTTTTGAATAACTGATAGAAATATTTGACCTCTACTCAGCGGTGTCTATCCCCAACTGAATATTTGAGGCATTTTGTACCACGTCGGAGGTTCGATCTCTCAGTGTACCACCTAAAGAATGAATTAGTACAACAAAAAAGCGTACCACCTTACTTTGTTTGAAGCATTGTGTCTCAAACGTTCCACAGGATAGACGCTCCTGTCTCCACTATTCGATAGCCGAGACCGAGACACATGGTTCTATGGAAAGAAAATTTTCAAAATCCTTCGCGAAGTTGGTTTTTGATGCTTTTAGAAAACTAGGTTGTCATTCCGAAAGTTACTATACAGATATTTTCGTTTTCTTTCATGAACAGATAGTCTAAAGCGGTGATCCTCTTTAAAACGGGAACTGAGCGACCTCTTCATTTTTCGCGCTTGAGGTGTGACATCGGATTTCCTGGAAGCTCCTGGATTGGTGTCCCATTAGGTGTTTTAATTCAGAAGATGAATAATGAAGTTAACGATCACAGTGAACCTTGTGAAAATGTATGTCTTCCGAAGAAAATTGAAAAACCCAGTAATAACCTATATTAGGTATAATAACCCAGTTTTGCCTATTTTCACGAAAACTTAAAAATTCATAACTCAGAACCGATCCATACTACTTGAGAACATCAAGATACTGTATCTGCATAATCATATTGTATATCAAAATTTAAGCGCTTTTCATCGATTTTAAAAACTTTCGAAAAGTGGCGCTCTTTCCGAACTGTCGCTAATGTATTTTCTGAATGTAGCATTAAAAGACGTACTTGGAACGAGTGAGCTATTATTTTTCAATTAAACTACTGAATGTCATTGTATTTGTGATTTACGTAAAGTCTTGAACCTTAATTATTGCTAAAGTAAGTAAAAAACAACCTTAGAACTTCTTATCAGAAATCAGGACTTGTTCGGAACTAGAGGAAGCGTATAAAATTTCCAGGTGATGTTTCTCTCTAAACTTTTGCTCTACTCATGTAAAATATAATTATGGGCGACGTTTCACAAAGATAATGCAAGAGCGAAAAAGTTGAAATGCAGCTTACTTACACTGATAGAACTGAAGACAAATACCTTACAAATACTTCAACCGAATTTGCATTAGCGTGAACGACCTGTTGCAAGGCGATTCAAGATTTTGGAAGTTGAAGGTGTAAAAACACAGAAGAATTTTTTGAAAACCCAAACCAATTTGTTTAGAACGAAATGATCTATTTACAACAAACTTCAAATTCGAAACAAAATTTTTCAAATACTAAAGAATTAGCTCCTTCTCGCACACACACACACACACCAGTCAAGGCATTAGTACACCAGTGCCATTGATGAGTGATGCTGGACTTAATTATATACGAATGGGTTATCAATAATTCTCGTTTATGAATTTAGCATAAGAAAATCAAACTGTTTTAAAAAAAATATAAAGAGTTGAAAAGCAAAAAAGGTAACATAACTCTGCCTATAATCCATCTTTTTATTACCGATTAACTTTTATGTCATTGTCTGACATAAACCAATTTCTTTGTTTTAATTATGAAACTTCTGAATATCTAAAATTTTTATTATTCGCATCAGACTCACGTTTGTTGTCTCAATCAAACGAAGTCTTTGAATGATTTCCATTTTCTTCTCTCTCCTATCTATTACCCAGGTGGACATTTTTATGGGTTGGTACCAAAGTTTTTGGCTTCGTACTTTTTTTTGATAAGTACCAGGCACGTACACCATTTATTCGTACTATGACCATACCATCCAAACCCGGTACGGTACGAAAACGTTTGATACGTGATTGGTTTTTATGGTTTTATATCGTACATTTTTATACCTGGGTATACAGCTGTAGACATAACATGATTCATTATCCAGAAACATCGAAAAAACTTTTCTCCTCTTAGTGAGTGATCACTAATAGGTTACCATACACATTGATCTATAGTTCGATGCATTTAAAAGGACAACCTGTAATACAGGTTGCATAATGCAGCTTCTATTTTTGAATATGCAGGAAAGAAACCGTACGAAGGTTCGAAAATCTGTTCTTACTTTATTCACAAGGCAAAACTGAGAAATTAAGTCACAGTGGATCCGGATAGAGTTTTTGACGATGTTCTTGGGCAGTGTCGACTAGGTATGCACCAGTTTTTAACTGGTGTTAGGGCATTCAGGAGAATTGCTATACATCAGTTATCACGATTCGCTCAGAGTCGTCAAACATCTCATTTTGTAAAAAAATGTATGCTCTACAAAATGCATTTGTTAAAAGGTTTTCAAAATGATTTCTAAGAAAACTTAGAGCATTCAAAAATACATTAAATCACGGAAAAAAAACTGGTGAAAACCTTCGTGATTTTGTGCATTTTAGAATGCTCTAAGTTTTCTTAGAAATCATTTTGAAAACCTTTTAACAAATGCATTTTATAGAGTATACATTTTTCTACAAAATGAGATGTTTGACGACTCTGAGCGAATCGTGATAACTGATGTATAGCAATTCTCCTGAATGCCCCAACACCAGTTAAAAACTGGTACATACCTAGGTGTCGACTAGGACAAAGTGATCCCGCTGAACTTCTCCTCCCATCAAGTATTTTTGACTTCCTTTGTGTAATTGATTGTATTGAAATACGCTGCATGACACTTATACATAGATTATTATAGCAATATCTTATCAGCAGGTCTAGTCCATTAAGTTTATTTATTAAGGTTATCGCTGAATAGGGCTATTACTGTATATACTAACAAGCACTACACTAAGTTTTCTTTTACTCTTGATGTTGTTTAAATCAATAGATCGAAATTCTCTTCCCTGATTGACCTGGGACTTTGTACATACATCTAAACATTGAACGAATATAATGATCTCTCTATACATATTCTGTTTCTTTTGGCCATGACGAAACTGTCTAAGTGAGGGCAAGCACTTTCTCGTCGTTTATACACTCTTGTATAGACATAATCTTTACAACAATAAATGTTTACTTAACTCTGCAATGTATTAGCCCAACACCGTTCTTTGTTTGTGTCTTTACACACACACACACATTTTTAGAGAAGAAAAAAAGTGAAAACAGTTTAGTATAGAGATAATAAAGAAGAAGAAAAGAAACATAATGTTGATTTAAGAATAAAGCATAGTGTTGTTGATACAATGAATGTTTTTTATGAACAACAATTGATGAGTCAATAGGTCATCTCGTTTTTGACGTGTTACATTCAGAAACTTAATAGTTGTGAGAATAAAACCCTATGATTAAGTCCAACTGGTGATATTTAACTTAGTCATACTTCACAGGATAGAAAGGTGTCAAAATGAATAAACTCAATCGATTGACTGATGAACACTTTGCTATTTTAATTACATAGATCGAATGACATCAAAAGAAAAAGAAAAAGTTTTATAGAATCTTAATGTCTAAGCGTGTATATATGAAAGGAAAGAATGTGCATCTCTTATCACTGTAGTTATCACTTTTATAGCTTAATCAGATGTTTATCAATACGAAATAGATTCAAAAATTACTCTTAACCATGAAATATTTTATGTCAGTAAACTTTTTTTTAGTGTTATTTCTCTAATTCGTTAAATGCTTTACTCATTGAAGCCTTCAAAATGGTCATCACCATTGTAGATTTTAATATTTTAAAGTGACATTCTTCTTAAAACTTTGCTTCTTATACAAGGGATAAATTCGACATTATTTTTATAAATAAGGTCACTGCAAAAATGGAGTATTATTAAAAGAATTGGAATTAATCAGAAAGTAGAAAATAAAAGCAATCTTGTCCTGCACTAAAACAATCTATGGTCTATGTCGGTATTCATTGATCGTAAATATAGCTGACAGATCAAAACGAGCGTGTAAGTATTTTTACTTTTGAGTCATTGATTTTGTATGAAAATTTTTTTATCCCTTTCAGCCTAAGCAAATACGCCGGAATCAACGTTTTCTTTTTTGTGATTACGTTTGAACAAATTGTTCAAAACCGCTTAGAGTCATAAAAACACGGGACAATTGCGTCATTTAGTGGAATGATATGGCACAGCAAATAAAGAGAACGTTTTTCCAGTAAAACAATAATGATAAAAGACCTTTAGATGCTGTCGAGTATTTTTCTGTTAGTAGATCGATATACACATGTATCGGTCAATCACATCATGAATATATTACGTTTTAATCGAATAGACATATTCTCATCTTTTTGTTTCGAGTTCATGCGGAACCCTAAAGGAAGTAGAACATTCGTAACATCTTATCCATAATGAAATTATTTTATGCGTTTTATTTATCCAGTAGTGAAAAAGGAACAATGTATATGTCATGTGTGTGTGTGTGTATGTAAAAAGCAATTTGTTTTTTTGTATGCAATGAATGTAGATAGTCTAGATAATTACACAAATGGATGTTTATGCATATACATGATAAAGAGGAGACTGAGAAAATAGATTATTTGACCAGGTTGCAATGATGTTGTGAATATGTCAGGCATCAACAACATCATCATCATCATCATTATCATCACCATTATGGATTATTATTACAACATGATTATAACAGCAGTACGGTGTTCATCATATATCATGTTTTGATCGATTTAGAAATTTTTCATTTCAAGTTTACGATATAGATAAAAAAAAGTATTAGATAACCTTAAAATATTCGTAAAAGCTTTGAAAAAATCTAGAGTATTAAAATTGAACACTTGTAGATAATGCACAAATTTCTTCAATTCAAAATTCAATAGAAACTTATGAACTTATAACAGTTATTTTCACGCTTCTTCCGCTAATTTAACAAATGTTAAGTATGCTTACTTGATCCGCATGTTTTGTTACTACAATCACATTGATAACGTGGTTCTTCATCTACACTTAAGCATTCACAATGTTTACCACAAACATTTGAATATATTTCACAATATTCTGAATCTGTTGTTGTTGAATATAAAGGACGTTGAACACTTTCTGAACATCCACAAATACCATATCTTAAATTACGAATGTAACCATTAAATGGAATAATTGATTTATGATTAAATGATCGAAGTAATTCAGGATAACCACCAAGATAAACATCTGAATTTATTGTTTCATTTCCAAATAATAAATTTTCATTAATCATTAATGTTTGACTTTCCATATTTCTCAATGCAACCGAATATAATAAAATTTCAATTTCAATGTTTTTTCGTTTATAAACAATTTTATACCATTTATCATTATTTAAATTTGTTCCAATATAAATCTGAGATGGATGATAATTCATTAATTGTTGTTCAATTAACAATTTTCCATTAGTAATTTCAACTGAAATGTAATCACCATTCACGTTACTATTATCGGTATAAAATAATAGACCATCTCTATTTGTTGTTCGAAATTCAAATGAAAATGAGCCATTATCACATAATTGTAAAGAAGGATAAATAACAAATGTTGACGAATTTTGAAAATGAAGTAATTGAACAATATTAATTTGTTGAAATATTAAATATACGAAAAAATTAATCAACATCATTGATCATTCATGGAGTCTCTAAAAACAAAAATTGATTAAAACTTTTATCTTGAATGATGAGATCATAAGATCTGTACTATTGTATAGAAACAAAAGTTTACTCACAAATTTGGATTAACCATTTATAATTGGTCATAAATGTCGAACGAAATGTGAAATTAATTAATTTATGGAATTCTCTCTTCTTATTTTCTTTAGTGTTCAGACTCTCTCTCTTTCTCTTTCTACTGACTTTTGTTCACTCTCACTGTATTAATTGTTCAGTTTAAAAATTTTTATTCTTCACAAACTGAACAATAAACTATATGCAATTTTACACCTTTTTCTTTCTTTTTTTCGTTTAGATCTGTAACAAATATGATGAAGTCTAAAACGTTTATGGTTTCATGATTCAACATCAAACATTAATTTTTCTTATGTTATATAATACACTTGTGTGATGAATATAACACCTCAAAATGAGATTTGTTTGTAGCTGAAGAAATTATTGTCTAAAAATGGTGAAATTAATATTTTCAACTTACATTGACTTTGATCAATAAATTTCATAAATAGATCGAGAGAGGATAAATGTGGTATATATATCTATATTATTATACTTCCGTTTTTGATATACAACGAGATAAGAAAAATATAAATGCAATTTTTTTTATCAATATATATATGGTGTTGCGACCTAATTTCCTTCTTTATTCTTGAACCGTATTGTGACGGTGTACGGTTCTTTCTCTCTCTCTCTCTCTCTCTCTCTCTCTCTCTCTCTCTCTCTCTCTCTCTCTCTAAATCTCACACTCTCTCGTGCGCACTTTCTCTCCCAAAGACACAACAAAGAAATATACACATAAAAATAGGCTTTTTTTTATCGCCCAGTTAATTATATTGGTGAGAATAAGTGTGTATAATGAGATTTTCTTTCTTTTCTTCTTCGTTCATATTTTTTTTTTATGATCATGAGAGTGTTTGTATGTTCATCTATTGTACATATTTTTGAGCATAAGTACAAAATAGAATAATTTACAATTTAGTCGTATTTTTCTTTTTTGTGTGTCCCATTCTTCTCACCATCAATGTTCATACTTATCTCTTGCCAAAATAAAAACAAACGTGTATTCTTGTTTCTATTATCTTATACGCTTACAGTTGTGTCTTTCTGTCTTTATTAACACTATCTAGTAATGATTTTGCATGTTTTGAGGTATTGAAAACATATTTATCTGATTTGCGTTGAAAAACGAAATCGCGTTATACTACAACAGAAGTAAAAGAGGCAAAATATCAATGCAGAACAAATTGAGACAGCAAGAGCCAATAAATAATTTGAAAGTTTATTAAGAAAATTTTCAATCATTAGATGAACTGAGTTAATCCATATAACGAAAAAAAAACATAAAACTTTTAAATTGTCACTTAGTTTAATACTCTTCCTCTTATAGTTCTGTATTTTCCATTGTTAATTACTCCTCCCTTGACACTGTGAATATGAGAAGATAATATCTTAAACACCTGGTTTATTTTTACCATCTGCTTTCTAACAGTATGAAATAGAATCGAAGCACGAATGTATACAAAGAAATTGTTTTTCGTTCTCCTAATTATGATGTACACCATTCGTTCAATTTTTTTCCTTGATTGTACTTGATTTTAACTATGATTATTATATAGATAGATTTTATTCACTTACTTAGATGTTGAGTATCATTTATTATATTTGTGTGAGCGTTGTCACATCAATCTTCGACGTTTTTAAGGTTGATGTCGAGACTTGTCTCAAGTTACTTTTGTTGAACATAAATGTATATATTTATAGATGGATTTTGCAAAGAAAGATGGAGAACAGACGTTCTTCTTCTCTTTTCGTGTGAATCTTTTTGTCATTGTATTTTTCTGATGGACAATGTACCTCTGTATTATGTGTATATAATTGAAGCTATACAGTTTAGAGAGGGCCTACCGGGAATAAGAGAGAGAGAAAGTTTTTCAAAATATACGTTACTAATGAAAAGTGATAGATGTAATTAGATGAAAATCGCGTTTTCTGTTGCTCAATCGAACTTTGTGTTATTAATGAACATGTTCAGTACCGTATTTCCATTCAGGTCCTCCCGCTTTGTTTACGCCTTCAAGTCGGCAACGTTTGACTATGCCCATTTTGTAGAGCATACCGAGTTACCTATATTTTCATGTTTTCCTCGAAAAAAAAGAATACGGTTTTTGAGAACCATGGCTCGCAAAGATTGTCCTTTTTACATTAGGGAGCCCAGGAAAGCTCCATTTTTCGCTTTACTATATGTTTTAAAACTTTTTCGAATTAGCCATTAAAAGTTGTACTTATTGTGAAATTTTCAAGGTTACAACTTATAAGGGCTCCATACACCCAGGTCGATGATATATCGAAACGACAAAAAGCGGCACTTTTATGACTGCTACAAGTCGATCAAAAATTATTTAAATGCCAATTATTCTATAGTCAAAATGTAGCGTAAACTTGCTCTTTCCAAGGCAAAAGAGTTAGTCGTTTATTGTTTTTGGTTTTTGAATTTTAAACTCCAGAAGAAGGCTCGGTTTCCAAATGGTCTCAGTTTGGGAGTCGGCTCCCTCGAAAACTGGCAGTCAGAATTTCTTGAAAATTTCTTTCTAAAATGTACTGACCTTGTACTATAAATGTTCCTATATTTGATTCGTACAAACAACCACAGATAGGAGAGACTCAGTCAATAACTCAGACCTAAGTTTCGTATTTATAGCGAGTTTTCTATAGGGAATGTGATTTAGCCTAAATTTTTTTTCAGAAAACTAATACCATAAAAAAGTTCAGTATCAAAACTTCCCTATAGTTTGTGAAAAATAACAGAAAAAATTGTATTTTAAGCGCACGAAAAGTCCTGGTTATTGACTGAGTCTCTCCTACCGGTGTTTGTTTGTACGAATGAAATATAGGAACATTTATAGTATAAGGTCAGTACATTTTAGAA